CAATAATGCTGAACTTTCACTTTATTGGATAATGGAATGTTATACAAATTGTTGCACAAACTGGACGTCCGAAATTTCATTTTTTTCTTAAGAAACTTAAGAAAAACTTAAGAAAACCGTTGCTTTTCAAATGCCTAAAACTCAAAATTTTTTTAGTTGATTAAAAATTTTAAACCGTAACTTTTATTCTACTTCATCTACTCTATCATTCTTACGGATTAGTTTTTCTCCAAACCCTCTAATATAAAAGCCTTAGAGTTTGAAAGTTGGGTATTTTATTTCGGTCTTTAGGTGTCCTGCACCATACCTGCGGTTGAATATCTCATGACTATTTTTTGGTTAGGTCATTCTCCTGTAGATAAAAGCTTAGCATAGTATTTACTTTCTTTTCAAAACTGGTAAGGGTGTTATGCCATTATACTTTCCACATGCTGTCACTTTTTTAAACAAGTTTCTAATATCGCTCTGCATCTGGACAGTATCAGAATCATTATCAATACCATCCAAGTTTTTCGTATGTCTGGTATTGAATCGGGCGTTGGCCGTGATGTCACATATTAGATCAAATCTCTATCAACCTGCCAGCGAAATAAATACGAAAAGAATACTCACCTGATTTCTGAGTTTGGAAGCCTGGAAGACTTCCGGTGCAATAAAGTGTATATTGTTGAATTCGGTTCACATGAATTCACCGTTTGTGAGAGGTTAAAGATCGCATATGAATGATTTTGTCGTCCAGCATATAAACGTGACTGTCTGCAGTTGATTTTCAAAGTACCTATCCATATTATATATGGGTCGAGCTTTGTGGAAGGGGTTTGTCATTATAGCATGTATCTTGGCTGATATCTGAAGATTTTATTACAAATTCAAACATGATGGTAATTAAATATGTAACATACTTTTACTTCGCATTCATCGCCTTCGTGATATTAGTATTCGATCCGAAATGTTACCATATCGTCTTTAGAAGGTTGTGTGCGGGTGTCAATGTCAATTTAGTTGGTTAACGATGGCGGTGGTTTTCGTCGTCGAGAGTTTAGATGTATTCTTACTGACTGCTTTAATACAGGTGAAAGTGAGGTTAAAGGTATCGCTGTCACCGTATGTTGTTATAGAATGTACAATTATATACGCTTTGGGTTGTTTTATGAAAGCATGGGAAAGTCGAAGTGACACTGACGTAAAATTGTCTTCATTGAGCGTTATAAAGTAATATTTATACAAGCAAGTCCGTGTGGCTATATAGTTAATGGTTTTTGTTTGTGCAACAAAGTAAGTGGCAATCCACATGCTTATATATGTTCTGCCTCAAATCGGAATTTGGCCCATTCAGTAGAATGGGTCAAATTCCGATTTGCTGTAATATTTAATATTTTCAAAAGTATTATGAAAGTAGGGATGTGCTTATAATTAATATTCAACAATTCTTTTAGAATATAGTAAGTTCACATTGCCGTCTTCGATCCATGGATGAATCTCTCTTTAGTCATCCGATTTTAGATCCCATTGAGATACAAATTCGAAGCGATGAACTTCACAATACAACTTTTATTGATTTACCTTTTTGCTAATGAGCTTCTACCTGCTAGTCTTGAGATACTTACATTTATGTTCCAGCCCATCAGAACACAGCCAGATTGCGACATTGTGTAACAGTCTTATTGATCCAATTATCCGGATTGGTCAGAACATTAATGTGAATAAATTGAGGTGGAAAGTTTATATTGCTTTTGCATTGTCTTAAATTATTATTGATGGCATATAAGTGCAAAAATACGTGTAGATGGCAAAAATTTGTATATGTTAAGATTTTTACTTATTACTAATACAAATAAGGGTAAACGATGTTCGAGACCTTTAATATGAATAAAAAATGCGGCTGATTTTTTGGGGGACACCTGTTTCCGAATTAGTGCAACAAGAAAAGGGTCAGAAATTGCATAATGTCACTAAAGATTTTTTCTCCCGCAACTGCAGAACTCAAGTCATTAAATCTGCTTTAATTAATTGATGTGTTAGTTAAAAAAGTAATAAGTTTAAAGTTGAAAGCAGTTCATTGAACTCTAATAAAGCAGAAGACATTGAGTATTACAGATGGTTATCAGGTGAAAGACATGTCAGGATAGGAGATGTTCTCTGATGACAACTTTTGTTGAATACATAATTATTCATTTATAATTTTTAGAAGCTAATACTAACATCTTGTGACAACGAAAAATTAAAAATTTTCTCAAAAATAAACACTGAGTTTTGAGGGAGAATGGAGTTCGAGTGGGCTATCATGATATCACTATATTGTGATATAAAACTGGTGCCCAAAAATTGTTGTATGAATTCCCAAAATTAGAAATCCACTTGGTTAGCGCGGTTTAGGAAAAGTATAAGATCTGCAAAATCAGTAACCTGTAAAAGTAAGGATAAGCAGTTAAACTCGAAATGGGAGATCATGAGTTATGCCTGAAATCATTATAGTGATAATTAGTCTGACTTTGCACATAATATGGAATAATTAAGCCATTATTCTAAGACTTAAGTTCATAACAAAAATTTATCTAAACAGTCTACATGATAAAATTTGACTCTAGAGCCTTTGCCAATGCTGTTGCTCCTGTATACCCAATCTGATTATCCTTAAGATTCAAAGAAGTCAGAAATGAATTTGATTCTAAAGCCTTTACCAATGCTATTGCTCCTGCATCTCCAATCTGATTATGATAAAAATTCAAAGAAGTCAGAGATGAATTTGATTCTAGAGCCTTTGCCAATGCTGTTGCTCCTGCATCTCCAATCTGATTATCATTAAGATTCAAAGAAGACAGAGATGAATTTGATTCTAGAGCCTTTGCCAATGCTGTTGCTCCTGCATCTCCAATCCGATTATTCCATAGATTCAAAGAGGTCAGAGATGAATTTGATTCTAGAGCCTTTGCCAATGCTATTGCTCCTGCATCTTTAATCTGATTACCCCATAGATTCAAAGAAATCAGGGATGAATTTGATTCTAGACCATTTGCCAATGCTGTTGCTCCTGCATCTCCAATCTGATTATCCCATAGATCCATAGAAGTCAGAGATAAATTTGATTCTAGAGCCTTTGCCAATGCTATTGCTCCTGCATGTCCAATCTGATTATAATAAAAATTCAAAGAAGTAAGAGATGAATTTGACTCTAGAGCCTTTGCCAATGCTGTTGCTCCTGCATCTCCAATCTGATTAAATGCAAGATCCAAAGAAGTCAGAAATGAATTTGATTCAAGAGCTTTTGCCAATGCTATTGCTCCTGCACCTCCAATCTGGTTATAACCAATATTCAAAGAAGTCAGAAATGAATTTGATTCTAGAGCCCTTGCCAATGCTGTTGCTCCTGCATGTCCAATCTGATTATGACCAATATTCAAAGAAGTCAGAGATGAATTTGATTCTAGAGCCTTTGCCAATGCTGTTGCTCCTGTATACCCAATCTGATTATCCTTAAGATTCAAAGAAGTCAGAGATGAATTTGATTCTAAAGCCTTTGTGAATGCTGTTGCTCCTGCATCTCCAATCTGATTATCCCCAAGATTCAAAAAAGTCAGAGATGTATTTGATTCTAGAGCATTTGCCAATGCTGTTGCTCCTGCATCTCCAATCTGATTACAATCAAGATCCAAAGAAGTCAGAGATGAATTTGACTCTAGAGCATTTGCCAATGCTGTTGCTCCTGTATCTCCAATATCATTTTCAATAAGATTCAAAAAAGTCAGAGATGAATTTGATTCTAGAACCTTTGCCAATACTGTTGCTCCTGCATCTCCAAACTGATTAGAACCAAGATCCAAAGAAGTCAGAGATAAATCTGATTCTAGAGCATTTGCCAATGCTGTTGCTCCTGCATCTCCAATCTCATTACAAGAAAGTATCAAAGAGTTTACAGAAGGGTTTGATTTTAGAATAGTTATTAGTGCAGTTGCTTCTGTATCTCTCAGCTTCCAAGAAAGGTTTAGTGTTCTACCTGGTAAATGTTGATTTCTATCATCAGATAGCAGTTGTAATTGTTTGTGTATTTCTTTACAAGATGGTCGTTCTTCAGCATTCTCACTCCAACATGCTGAATATAGCTGAATATAGGCTTCTGGCATCTCTGGAAGAGGAGGATCTCGATAGCCTTGTTTTCTACATTCTGCTATACTGGTCCATTTTTTACAAGGTATCTGACCACTAGAAATTTCCCAAAACAACACTCCAAGACTAAAAATATCAGATTTTTTCCCGCGTTTATATGATTGATCTCTGAATGATAAGGGATCTCTGTATGCTGCAGTACCATCACCTAATGATGAGGACATCATCTGTCCAGATAGGCCAAAATCAGTGATTTTTGCAACACCTGATTTCATAAGAATATTGAAGGCTGACTGGTAAGAGCATAAACAATATTAGTTTGTAATCATTAATATAATTGCAAACAAATAAAGTGTAATCATAGATTACCAAGTCCTTGTGGATGATATCAAGATCATGCATGTATTTCAATCCATTAGTAATTTCCATACTGAGCTTGTATTTGTCTTCCCATGTTAAACTACGAAAACGCTGCATCAAGTGGGTACGCAAAGTCCCACCATTAGCAAACTCAAAAACCATGTTGTGATAACCATCATCTTCATCTTTCAGATTAAAATACATAAAATATATTAACATTAATATGTCATCATTACTCATGTATAGTTATAGTAATAGTAGCAATTATGATAACATAAATATACTTACAGACGCCTAAAAATCGGATAATATTTGGATGACCGTTCACTTTCTTGTGGTTTTTCAACTGTATATACATAACTATTAGCTATAAATCGATTACCATGATACAGTATGCGGTAAACCAAAAAGAAAATAATAAATAACCTCTTTGGCAAACTTTTTGTACAGTTTTTCCTCGCAATCACCTGGACGCCAAACCAAAGTTTTCATTGCAATAGGCATTCCAGTTTTTTTCATTATTGCTTTATATACTACTCCATATGAACCAGTACCAATAGGTCGTCCTACTTTAATATCGCCTTCTGGATAACAGCGAATAGAACCCTCTTTAACGCTTCTCTCTATCCATTCCTTGTTATAAACAATACCATGTTCATCTTGCTGACGGCGACTGATTGCTTGAGATTGCGTTGATCGCTCATCAGTCTCCATCTGGGAAGATTGATCTGGAGACCCGTTTTCTGATTGATTAAAGTTGATTTGTAGTTGAGGAACTTGATGGATGTTTCCTTGTGACTGAGACGGACGATAAGTAGCCTCTGTCGGTGGATAGACCTTTTAATGTCATAATAGTATACAAAGAGCTTGAGTGTGATGGTACGGTTGTAGAACAGCAAACCGAAATTACAAACCTGTGCTTGAGCCTGCGCTTGAGCCTGCGCTTGAGCTTGAGCCTGTGCTTGAGCTTGAGCTTGCGCTTGAGCTTGCACTTGGGCCCGCACTTGAGCCTGCACTTGGGCCTGCACTTGGGCCTGCACTTGGGCCTGCACTTGGGCCTGCACTTGGGCCTGCACTTGTGCTTGAGCTTGAGCTTCGGCCACTTGTTCGGCTACTTGAGTGAAGTCCGCGTGTGCCTGTATTACTTGATTATGGGCCTGCACGAATTCTGCTTTCGCCTGTATTACTTGATGATGTGCCTGTACAGTATCGACAGGATGAACTTGCAGCTGGGACTGAGCCATACTTGGACTACTCGTTCCTGGATAGACCTGTAATCGTATAATAGTATACGAATGTATGAGGTCAGTACACAGTTATTGTAACACCTACTCTAAACTGACCGACTATACAAACCTGCAGCTGGTCATAATCCGATCGCTCGAGCGGTACAACTCCAAGCATATCTTGAACAGAGTTCTGTCGATCAAATTGGCGTTCAAATTGCATGGTTGGCGTAAACAATTCGTGTGGTGTCTGTGCTTCACGCTGTCTCGAATACGGGTACTGCGACAACCATTGTTGTTGACGTTGTTGTCGATGCGTAAGCGAGTTTTGCGGAGTAGACAAAGCATCGTACTGTTGCTGAATGGAGCCTGTACCTAGTTGTTCACGCATAGTCGGATTAGAATTGCCTATATACAACGGTTCGCTTGTCAATTGCGTTGGCGGATCGCCAAAGATAAGCACATCAGCAGGTAATTGTGGAAGGTATTGTTGAGGTATTTGTCCTGCTTGTAATACGTTTGGATATAATAGATACTGATTTGAGTCATCGTAATCAATGTATCCCTGCTGCATTGTTGTACTGATTCCTCTTGTTGTTGATAGTTCCATGGCTGGCCTTGCCAAAAAGGTTGTTGCGACATTATACGATACGTTAACTACAACTGTTCAAGTCAAGTCGTACATAATATATTCATGACCAATGATTGAGAGTCTACAGATTGCACAACATACTTCTTAAGGTTATACAATCGTCAACTCTCCGGCTTATCGCACTTTAGTTTATATAAAAGCGATATATAAGAACTCGGATCAGAAAATTCTATATAGTCGCACTCAATCTGTGTATATCTAAATATTCACACAGGATTAAATTAAACACATTTTGTTAAAGAAACACTTTAATTACGATTCAGAAAAGACTTTCCGTAAGAGACGATGCGATAGCTATCAAATAGTTTCAATTATTTCCTGACCAAAATTTCTGATTTCAAATACAAAGGTAACCTGCACACGAATTAAAGTTTTTAGAATATCGTATTTGATAATGGCAAAGTGTTTAGCAAATACAAGAAGTTTAACGTATTGCCCCTGTAAAGACATGTTATTATTTAATTGTCCAATAGCCTAGTAGTTACTTCAACAACCATATTAATATAATATGTTGTACCGAGAGCAATCTATTAAAATTTTGAAGTTTACCTTCACTAAATAATTTCGTGCTGTGAAATTACTTTATCGTTATCGGCGACAACATCATGATAGCCGATATTAGCTAAAGATGTCTGACAGTCATGACTAGCTGTCGTATTCGGTAGCACAAATAATAATTCCAATGGATTGCTTCCTGCGTAGTCAGAAAAAGAAAATTAATTGCTCAGAACTTACACCACATTACTTTTTCCAATAGGTGTTTGTCTGTACAGACGTATAATGGCAAGTAGGAATATTTGTTTTGCAGTATGGCTAACAATATGACAACCGCTGTAATATTTGATGAAAAAGTAATAATTAAAACAACTCAATTGTTAATGAAACATTTACGTTCATATTTTCCAGCCTCTCGAATGGAGTATGCTATAAATTTGATATAAATCTGGATAAATGGCTTTTATCGACGTCTCAAATTTTAGTCTAATAAATACTGGATACTCGCAAACCTGGTTACTTGTTATAAATAATAGACTGATAAACTTTGTTATCACATCAATCATATTGAGAATCTTCCCAATACTGAGATAAACTACGAGCTCTGTAACTTATTATTATTGGTTGAAACCTGCGAGAATGTTATCGTCCATGACAGTGATACTAGACAGACAAATCAAGAAGGTCAAAAAGGCGATTATTACCTATGCTTACATATAGAGTGATCAATGCTGGCTGGTGACAACAAAATTCATACAACAGCCTCCTTATTTTGCTCGCATAGTTCGAATGCCATTGATAGTGATAATTTTTCATAAAAGTTATAAATTGGACAATTCTGTATGTCAAGAAAACGACAAAACGTAAATTTAAATTTCATTATTTTGTTCAAATTTCTAACATGTAGCCATTTATAGTCGCAACGCAATATTCAGCACAATTCAAACGTACCTCCTTTTTCGTATATTTTTTGGTATACTTGTATAGTAAAAATAGTGTTAAAAAATTAGTACAATAATAATAGAAATAATTTATTGTCCGCATTACAATTAACTTACTTCATAATTCTTGATAAGATTTTAAATTTTATTTTTATATTAATAGTAAAAGCTTATCTGTGTCTACATGACTTTGCAAGCGAGCCTGATGTTTACAAAACATTGCAATAAAAAGCTTAATAATTTACACCGTAAATTTGATGTATCAACATTAATAATGAGCATGCTTTGGCTGAAAATGGCGTGCGTATTGCTTAATAGAAATTGTATTCAGCATATAAAAATTGATTTAAAATTATGTGCTGTGTTGACATTATGTATACAGTAGAAGGGCAAGTTTTTTTGTTTGTAGCAAAAGTGAACGTTTTGGTAACTGTTTTGAAACAACTTATTTATAAATTAAACGTCACATAAGCATAAAGCAAACTGTGAAAAAAGGAATAATAATTAAAATATTTGTATAGTAAACGGGGTGGGTCTATGTTAAGTTTCGTGCTATTTTCGGTTCTACGTCTCTTTTTGTACTATTTGTCTTTCGTTTATACTCCCGTTATCACTTCCTAACTTTTATTTTTCTGGTATTTTTTTTTCAATATTTCTGTCTAAATTTGGTATTGGACTTAGAATGATTTAATTGCCTTGAGAAGAGTAATCGTGTTAATGAAATTTTGCAAACTTTGTTAATTTTGTTCCCTTCTGTCAGTTGATATTATGAACCACGTTACGTACGTAACAAAAAATGGTGCGTTTGTAAATTGCGTCTGATTATATTTGCGCAGTTTTTGTTCTATGATAATTTGCTGTTAAATTTGTTTTTTTACAGAACTATAATTCGTCAGTTAACCAATACACGTTAAAATTATCAAATTTTTAATAAATAACTCGCGGTATAACTGCTGCTTTTTAGAAAATACGTCCCGATTGCGTGCAACAATCAATTTTTTTCAATTTTACGTTGCATTTTTTTAATTAATCGTCAATTGGATGTTAATGGGTTAATATTTATCATGTATAGCTTAACCTGATTTTTGGATGAGTGAGGTTTGACTTGGATAGATGAGCAAGCTATATAATACGTTTTAATGATATCGGTATGTTGCGATCGATTTTTGAGGTAATCGCAAGTTTTTTGTCTATGTGTAATCGTAGACTAGTAAATATTCTTTGAACAACGGTCGGTGTAAACTTTACCAAAACTTGATAAATTTTTTGTATTCATTGGGTCACTTGTACGAATTTTTATCAAATCATTACTTGAGTTTGCGTACGCGGTAAACTTGACTTGTATTGGATATCCATCATTTTACAAACAGAATTTCTCGTCTGGGCGTTTTTATTCTTGTATTTTTTATTATCCACGGAGAGATAGACACAATAGCTAAAATTGTGATAGAGCTAATTTTCATATTTACACTTTTCGTTTTTACATATTTATTTAATGTTGTACCATTTCATATGTTTGTAAGGCCAACTTTGGTGTAATTCTAGTAATTAACAAGACACGGTTTTTTTTATCATTTGGCGTGTTTAATTAAACTTTCCGAGCATAATCAATGCAATATTTGGCTTTTTGCAGTAGGCTAGAATAAACGCATTGTTCCGTTATTAATGAGATCGATACAATGAGACGTCCCTGATTGACATTGCTCATATAATGCATTTGAGGTTTATGCTCTAAATATTATTGGAATGAACAACATATTATGTAATATTTATCCATTTATCTGGAAAACCAGATTAATACACGCGCTTTTGTTGAGTATTTACCAATTGAATAATGAATTAAAATCAGTTAACTAACAAATTGGTGAGTTAACATGTATTTGCGTTAAGAAAATTTCCGATTCGGTAATTTATGTAGTCTTCTAAATTTATGTATTTGAACTGAGATTCTATTCTTGCGCTTGCAATTTGCCTTTCTACCAAATAATTGGTAAAAGCGAAAAATTTGCTCAAACATTGTTTTGTTCGTGTAGCCTAATATTGTGTAATAAGTCTACCTCAACCGTCGCATTTATTCAAACATGCCGAGTTGTATTAACTGTAAAAAGACCCCGAAAGTGGTTTAAAAATTCTGTCCAAAGGTATCAAGACAGCCCACACGTTTTTTTACGAATTCCTTTTTCGTTAAGGAGTCGGTAAAACATGCGTTCAGTGTCTGGATAAAAAAAAAGACGCTTTATTTATAAAAAGTCTCTAAATCGATCAGAAGATAGTTTATAGAATATCAGGATACTCAGACCGATATATTTTTCTATTTTAATAAATTGTATCACTTATATTTATTAGCAAATTAGTGTCGGGAAATAATTTGTTTGAATTCGAGTTAGACGCTACGTTCGGCAATGAGTAAGGAGAGAATTCTATTTCTCAATTGCTGAAAAAATTCGAGGTGTTTAGACAAAGTTACCAGTTCTCATCTTTATATGGAAATCGCGGAAAAATGTAAATGCTCAATTACTAATTTCGAATAGTAATAGTAGTTCGATCTCTGCAACGTTTGTTTTGCAAAATATTCGCTTTTCAGATCATCGGGCCACAACATTAACAACAACAAGAGTATTTTAATAATAGCAATGTATTCTTTTCATGCAATCTGCCTGCCGAAGGCGGTTAATAGGCAACCTTCTAGCTTTTGGATCAATAATCACAAATGTTATTTCGACTCAAGCTTATCGAACTTATGCTGTTTAGTTATAATATATAATATAATACCGATAAGTTAGCAAATTATAATTACAAGTTTATTTATATTGAATCGCCTAAATCATAAACAACAGATGTTGTTAATATAATAACTTGATTTAACATGTAACTAATTAGAAATTGCTGGTACCATACCTACTACTACTCAATTTCCAGTTTGTGCAAATCTCCAAATTTATAGTTTTACGGTATGATGATAAACGGCATCCCATATATCATTGTCACTTTTACAAAGAGTGTGCATATAAACCCAAAGTTTATCTGCATCCGGACGTTTATCGGGGTCGGCATCACAACACCATCTGGCAAGTTTCTTGTATTCCTCTGGTGCTGAATCAGGCATCAATGGTCGTAATCCACCCATAATATCGCCTATTAAATTTCTATCAAACTGCTGATTGCTAAAAGGTTGCTCACCAGTAGCAATTAAATGCATAATAATACCGAAAGAATATATATCTGACTTCTGAGTAAATTTGTAGGTCTGAAAGACTTCGGGTGCAGTAAAAGCCAAAACGCTTCGAATGGTTGAACGTCGTTCACATGACTTCACTGATCGAGAAAGACTAAAATCGCTAATAAATGGGGTACCATTGTGCAAAATTATGTTTCTGCCATGAAGATTACAATGCACTAATTCTAGATTATGGATATTAGACAAATTGGCTACAATTCCCATCAAATAATTTAATTTCATTCTCCATGTCAAATTGTTAATATTTTGATCCAAATAAGACAAAAGACTACCATTGTTAGCAT